CCGTCCAGAGAACATCATTCCATATGTTCTTGGATGTAGTTCTGCAATTGATACATCTCGTGACTTATCATCCATGGAATTTGTGCAATCTCTTCATGACTGTTACAGCCCTAGCAGGCCTAGTGTGTGTGTGTGTGTGTGTGTTGGTGGATGTGTCCTGTTTCCAACTGCAGTATAAAAGCTTGAGAGAAGCCCCTGAGCTTCAGAGTCTGGGTCAGCTCCAGTAGTTTTGTGATGTGTGTTTCTGCACTAGCAGTAAGTGGTTGTGTTCTCCGTCCTGCAGAGGATTGTTCTGTGGTGTGTTTTCTTTTAGGGGCTACGAATGCATAGTTGTTGCCTTCTTTGAGCAGAATTGTTTTTCTTTGGTCTGTTTGTTAAATTCCCTTTTTTTGCAGCACCTCTGTTTTGCTGACACCTTCATTTCTGTTGTTTGATTGAACTGTCTCTTTAAGTTGAACCTTTTAATAAAGTTTCTTTTAAAAACTGCATGGTTTGCTTTTTCACACAGATCTTCCTGTTGTTTTTGCTTTCATCCCAGTTCATTTTCGAGGGATATAAAAACAACTATAGATGATTCGTCTCACAGTGAAAAATACATTTACAAGAATAATCCAGAACTTTTTTTGACACCTTAAAAAGATTTGTAGATATTTGTATGATGACAAGAAACACTAAATGGTTGTTTGCTTTGCTGGGGTCAGTTTAGATTTAAAGTGAGGGGTGTACTTACTTTACATGTGGCTGCTTTCATTTTGTTGCATTGTGTGACTACTTTATTTCTACACTTTGTCAAAGAAAATCTTTAAAGATATATTTGAATTAAAATATGCTGAAAATAAATTGTGGGATGTATTATTCTTTTCACATGGCTTTGTGTGACTCTGAAGTTATTTTGCTCATGTTTCTGTGCTTTTGTTTTTCAAACAAACAAGCAGGCTTCTGTAAGAACGAGCTAACAGCAAAGCTGTTCCAGTTTGTCGAAATGACAAAAAGAGTTCAAGTCCTATATTTAGTAAATCCCCCTTGAGACAAAGTGATGTTGTGGTATTCTTACTGTTTCTGTTGTGTCTGTGTAAGCACAGGAATCAGAGCCACCGAGAGTTTCTCTAGATTGAAGAGGCCAACATTTGCCTGAGCACCAATGCTGTACCTGCCTTCATCATCAGATGTGTTGGGGATAAAATCTGCAACAAAAAGAAAAAAAAAAGATATATATATTTATTTGAGAACTGACAGCAAGAGGATTTCAGTTATTTTGGAGTAAAAGCGACATGAAACAGTCTACACACTGGGGTTATATGACTCCATAAAGCCAAAGGGTCCGTAGTCGATGGTGATAGAAAGAAGACTGAAGTTGTCTGTGTTGCACACACCTGTGGTGAGAATAGCAACAGCTATCAGTAGCGTTGGTTTAAACTGTGTGATAAGAATGTTCAGTTTCTCACCATGTGCAAAACCGACTGACATCCACTGGGCAATCAGATGTGCCGTTTCATTTACAACTGTGGAAAAAAACACCTACAAAGAAAACCTCAATAGCTTATTACTTAAAACAAAAGCGGTACATTCAGGAGTGCTTTTTTTATTACTCACCAAATATTTTTCTGGGTTGTCTGGATTTATAAAAGGAAAATGTTCGTCTATCACAAAGTTCAACAGCTTTCTAAAATGAAAATAACGATAAAATAACATTACAAACACAACAGGACACAGAACAAAGTCAGAAGTAAACAACTATAAAGTAAACGTTTGTCATGTGACCAGGCAGTCTTACCTCAGAAGATTTATTTCTCCACTTTGAGACAAAATTTCTAAGGATCCAATCCGAAACCATGACTTGGCCAATCGCAGAACAACAGCTCCTGTGGGGAATAAAGAAAAGCTGAACCAGAACAAAGATTAAGGCAGCAGACAAAACATCTGCATAACAGTAAAAAAAATTATGCTGGATTGTTAAAAAGTAATGCAGTTTGAAATAAAAGGCTCCAGTCATGGGTAAATCCTGTACCTCTCTCTGCTTTCACATTTCCACTGTAGAACTGATCCCTCAACACTGGCTCCTCACTGACAATCAGACTAAAAAAAAGAGCAAAGAATTAGCGGATAAATATAAAACACATAACAATTAAATGGTGACAAAAATCACACGATTCACACAATTTCTGGGTTATAATTTCTTTAAAAACGCCTCTTTTTTTGCAAATGCCAAAAAAATGTTCAAGTCATATGAGTCAAGCTCGTATGACTTGAAGTAATTTTATGTGAATGAATGAAATATAAATTGATAACACATTTCTGCACATCAAAAGTCCTGATTGACAGTTATTAGGGTAAAATTTGTAGTAGGTAAAACTGATCATTGCCTTGTGTGGATAAAAACACACAAAATCCAATGCCAGAAAAATTACTGCAAAAGCTACAAGTTTTATGGTTTCGGCTAAACAGGGATGTCAACAGTCTTTAGCCCGAATCAATCACTTGCTGGGAGTTAATTCATGATAATATAGTGCCAAATCAGGTAAAGAAGCACTTGGAAACCAAACATCCGTCTTTGCTACTGAATCTGAATCAGAGGTACCAAGAATGTTTGATTGCTTGTAAATGTCTGATTAAGCAAATTATTATTACTACATAGAATCATGGTAAAAACAAATAATTATCATCAACCAAACACATTTCTTTACTTTTTGTGCTAAGTTTGTAATCTTATACCAAACTTATAGCTCTCAAAATCATTTATTCTCACCTGGCAGCCCTGCTGGTGGGAACACCCAGGAAATGCATCGCTTCACTGCACAGGAACTCCCTGACAGAAGACCGGATTACAGCACGACCATCTCCTGACCTACAGCCAGATGTGAAGTCATACTTTTTTGGTTGCATTGCATGACTGCACAATTCTACAGCCACGCATACTATTATTAATAACCATGCATACTACTAATTCATCTTTAGGGGTCATTACAGCAGATCATCTGCCTCCATGTCACCCTCTGCCTAGCATCCTCCTCTGCCGTCCTTCAAAACATCATAGACCCTACAATTAAAGCCCCTACTCTCACCTCCTGCCTTTCCTTCTCTTTAGCTATCTCCTAACTACAAATAATAAATGTTTGTAATAAATAGCACTTCATCAGTAATAAATATATTACTACAAATAATAAATGTAATATGCTATTGCACAAATATATGTACAAATAAATACAAACCTTGAATATGGTGTTTTTCCAGATCCTTTAAGCTGGAGTTCCCATACCTCTCCCTTTCTATGAAAATTGAGAAGGAAAATATGTAAAGGCTTTAAGTGGCAGAAAATTACTTAAAATATAAAAACATAATTTTAAAAAATTAACTTACTTGTTTGAATACTGACCAAGGAAATGAGCTCGACCATCACCCAGCTGGCCTGCCCAGTAGCCAAACTATCGAGGAAAATAAAGCGTGTCAAAAAGATCAACTCAGCAAAAAAGCAAAAGCTTTATAGCTTTTAAAAAGTTATCAGGTATAAAAATCATTTATACCTGATGACCTCCATATCTGTGAGCAAGTGGCACAGACCCCGGCAGTAGTCTGCCACCACTCGCATAATGCAGAAAATCACCTGACCGAGTCACTGACGCATCTAAATCTAAGATCCCCTCGATGACATCCTGTTAAGACAATTTTAGACATAAATGAATTCACTATATTGTTAAATTACAGTGCAGATAGTGACATGGCATCCTCACCTTAGACGCTGCTGTCAACCTCAATGGACCTTTCAGTGGGGTTGGAATGGACTTGGAAAATATGCAGTTCTTCACAGTACGAACAAAGTTGCCATCATCTTTGTCGATTGGGAGTGCCTCTGCAGAGAGGACAGAGGGGATTGTATGATAACATTAGCGCCTTCCTCTATATTTTGACCTGTAAGGACAAGAATCTGTTTTACCCAATAGCTTCTTGCAGGAGACTCTGAACTGGTTGAGGTCGTGCATGAGGCTTGAAGCATTCAAGGTCCACTTGGACTTCACAGTGTGCGATGACGATTGGCTGTTTGATGCGGTGTTGTGGTCACTGTGACACTCAGGACTTATATTTTGGCACAACTCCAGGACATATGCAGGTGTGAAGCTAGATGCTGCCACCAGAGCAAAGACTAGTGCTGTACAGGTGCTCCACATTTTCACAGATGGAGCAGCTAACTTATCGAACCAGGTTTCAACTTTTCTCTGGCATGCCCCACTTTAAGAAGGTTCGTACCAAACGCCCCACAGTTTTATCAATCATTAACTTAAAAAAAAAATCATATTATATTCTAGTTCACCTTAATTTTGTTTTATATTTTTCACCTGGTTATCCACATCCACAGCCCAGGGTTTGAGAAGCACTGCATTAAAGATAGCAGATCTGAGGGAAGCAATAAAAAAGGGTAAACCACACTTCCCCTTAGTGCTTATTCTAAGCCAAACAGCTGATCTTTTACTTACGATAGTAAAAAAAAAAAAGACTTAGTCACTATTAATAGGCTACTAAAGTGTTAAGTAAAATATAATTTTTGTTTGGCATTAAATGGAAATACTGGAGTGATGTAAAAGGATCTTAAAATTGTATTTCAGGACTTTTAAACCTTAATCAGAGTAAATAAATTATCAGTTGCACGTTACGTTTCATACACAATTCCTCCAATCAACTTTTAAGTTTTTTTTTTTTAACTATTAACTTACATAAATAACGAGTTAAACATGAACTAAACAACCTTAACTTTGTCTGTCAGCTCTACCGTATACCTGTAAATAACGATAGGGTAATTTTAGTTTTTACGTTAGTTTATTATTACATATTACACCCCAAATAATAATAAAGTGTCATGAAAAGGCAAGAGCTAGCTTAGTTGTTAGCAACCCAGCAACTAGCCTCATCCCAGACACCCGTATATTATCTGAAGACGATCTTGAAAACACATTTTCCAGCACTAGCGTGAGGTATGTATACCTAAATTATTGCGCATTTACTCTCTCCATCATTTCCTGCTTTCTGCTGCTCCTCGTTATGAGACGTCACCGGATATTCCTTTACTGTTTTTCCGGTTCACGTTGCGATATGTAACTTCCGATGCATGCTGTTAACCTAAGGTAACATGGCGGGGCCGTGGTGGAGGCAATGCCCGAGGTTGACTGCGGGCTGCACGGCCACGAATATATTAGAAAATTTGTGGCACTTGAAGGGCAGGCCTGTGTCTTCCTCCGCCTCTGCATCCCTGTTGAGCCGGGCTTCCTGCATCTCCACGCCGGAAACCAGGGTGAGTTTGCGGTTAATAAAATGCTGGAGAGCCGGCATGGAGGACTTTTCAAAACCAGGAAGGTCATTCACTGCAGAGTGGTGGTTTAGAGGCAATGCCCACTTCTGCTTTATTCCACTATCTGTCATATCACATGCCAGTGAAACTTTATTTCCATTCCTCAGTAAAGAGAATTTTATATCTGTGTGTTTAAATGAAATGATTGGTGACTTGTTGAGCTCATAAAGGTTGAGACTTCCTGCTTGCACGTAAGCTGTCTTTGACTTGGCCAGCTGCCTGCCTCAGTTGCATTTGATTCATACATTCATTCGCCATTGACCCACATGTGCAACACTTCAGTTATATGAAATGTAACACCTGCATTTTAAACAGAAAATAATGTTTCTATCTTGTATCAATCCCAGTTAGTGTGAGCGTATTCTTTATTTTATTGTTCCTATGTTAAGTGAATGCACCCAGGGCTTAAAATCGGGGTCCATAAATAACTGATCCTGTGTAGGTTTAAAATTGTTTAATAACAACTAACTCCAGGGTGCTGGAACCTCTGCAAACCTGATGTGCTGCACATGCCTGAGCTCATCTTTGTTATGATCTCATTTTCAATTTCAGCCACCAACAGCTGCACAGATAAACATGAAAGCAGGAAACCTTCTAATCAGGTGAGTTGTTAGGTAGTCCAGCTAAGTAGTGACTTTTACATTTTTATTTATTATTATATTTTAGGAGATTGTGCATTTCAAATCACACGTTCAGTTTCAGCATAAATATTTGCATATCTTTCTTTCCAGACACCAGTCACGGTTGCTGCTTCCAACACTACAGTCTTGCTGTTGCAGAGCGACACACAGTGACACAAAGCCCAAGGACCCCTTCACGTTAGCCCAGAAAGACTTGACGAGTTTATATGACGACATCAAAAAAGTAAGTCTTCAAAGAGATCAATCCAATTTAGCTTTCAAATAGAATAGTTGTGCTGAAGCGATTGTTGTGCTGTATTCTGTTTCGTGTTGCATCCCTTTCTCTGGTCACTTCTCAAAAAGTAACAGCTTTATTTCAGCTCACATACATTAGTTTTTCAACCCAATTTTAAGGTTGAACAAATCAGTAGTTAAATCTAGCAAAGCACACACTTTATCTTTAATGCAGTCAGGATTTATTCACTAATACTGGCAGGTTTTTACCTTTTTACTACTTATTAACCACCAAGCCTGTTAGCTTTCCCATTCAACTGTACTCTGAATTTCTCCTTGAACCAGTCTGCCTCCCCTCTCACCCGCCAACAGAGCAAAGCCACACCCTTCTTTCACAATAGGGGTTTTAAGCTGCTAAAGTACGTAGAGAAAAACTAAAAGGAAGTCTGTCTGAGATATTTTTGCAATGGCTGTGACAAATTAATGAAGGCTTTTTGGCTCAGAGTGGGCGGTTTCCTGCCCTGTGGTGATTGGCATCTTTCCGCACAGCGGTTATTTATGGCGGAAATAAAACGCTTGCTTTTTACTGTCCTTTACAGGAGCTGCTTGTGTCCAAAGTAGAGCTGAAATCTCTCTGTGAATACTATTTCGATGGCAAGGGGAAGGCCATCCGACCAATGATAGTGGTACTGATGGCTCGCGCCCTTAACATCCACAGCAACAGAGCCGGGTAAACAACCCTAAACTCAGTTGTATTTTACTCTGCGACACACGGGTCAGAGTCCCGATTACACCATCATGACAAGCTCTTTGTTTCAGATAATTGCATCTGACTTCCTCCTGTTTGCTGTCTGTGTTTGTCCATTGTAGAGATTTGCTCCCAGGGCAGAGGGCCATCGCCATGATCTCTGAAATGATTCACACTGCCAGCCTGGTGCATGATGATGTCATAGATGGATCGGATAAGCGAAGAGGGAAGAGAACAATTAATGAAGTGTGGGGTGAAAAAAAGGTAAAGGAGATAAAATCGTTCGGTCTGATATGTTTTTCCGAACCACCCGTTCGTATATCATTCGGCCTCCTCTCTTCCAGGCTATCTTAGCCGGAGATTTCATCCTCTCGGCTGCCTCAATGGCCTTGGCTCGTATCGGTGACATCACAGTGGTGAAAGTTTTATCTCAGGTCATAGAGGACCTGGTGCGAGGTAAGTCACGACGAGCCGAGAACCAGCATGCAGAAGAACTGGCCGGAAGAATGCATTTACATATAGCCTTGTGATTGCAGGTGAATTCATGCAGTTGGGTTCCAAGGAGAACGAGAACGAGCGATTCAAACACTACCTCGAGAAGACCTTCAAGAAGACAGCGAGTCTTATTGCAAACAGTTGTAAAGCAGTATGTACGTTCTGTCTTCACATAAATAGCAGAGAGATGGAGAAAAGCCTAGTTTTCTGCACTTTTAATGTTTTTTTCGTTGACTGTCTGCACTCTTTCATTTAAGGTTTCCATTCTGGTAAACTCTGATCCTGAAGTGCATGAAATAGCGTACCAGTATGGGAAGAATGTTGGCATTGCATTTCAGGTACCGGCTGTTAAGCGAAGCGACGCCCTCAGTGATGAGCAAATATCAGTAATGATTTTTTGCACAGTAGTTATATGTAATAAAGCGGTTTGTTTTGTCCTGTAGTTGGTGGATGATGTTTTGGACTTCACATCTGGAGCCAGTCAGCTGGGGAAGCCCACAGCGGCCGATTTGAAATTGGGTTTGGCTACTGGTCCGGTCCTGTTTGCTTGTCAGCAGGTGAGACACCGCCACCATCGCTCTTACTCAGGACATGCAGACAAACTGTGCACCACTAGCTGAATGAGATGGACTGCAAACTGTCTTTAGTTTTTATCCGTTTGTCATTTCAGTTTCCCGAGCTTCATGCAATGATCATGAGACGTTTCGCCTCCAAAGGAGACGTAGATCGAGCCTGGCAGTACGTCCTTCAGGTATGAGCCGTAATACGCCATAAGTGAAAGCCTTAAAGGTCCAACCAAAAGAAGGGCTCTCTTAATAACATTTATATTTAAAAATAAAATGATGTGAAATTAGCTTCTTAAAAGTCATGACACATGCATGTTGACATAGATTTGTTTATAATAAAACACTGTACGTAAATTTTACCATAAACGTTTTGTTGTGTACAAATAAAGAGCAGAGAGAGAACTTTAGCTAGTCTGAAGTGACGCTGTAGGTCAAAGTCTAACAATCTGCACTCTGAAACTAACGATGGTAGGATGGTTTTATAGATTTTTGGAAATGCATTTAAAAATCCAAAGTCTCATTTACAGAAGTAGTCAAACTCATTCGGTACTTTTAGCCATACTGTCACTCTGGTGTAAACTGTGCGAGCACAAACCGCACCTGGATTTGTGCAGATCCTCCAAAGCTTGGTCAGATTAGATGGGAAAGTGCTTAAACTGTCATCTTCAGGGTCTCTCCTCAGATGTTCTTTGGGCTTTAAATCTGGGATTTGGCCGAATCACTCAAATACAGAGACTTGTCCCAGTGCGTCCCTTAGAGAGAGGGATCGGTCCTGATTATTAAAAACGGTGTGGAGTGCCTTGGTCAAGGACATTTTCTGAAGAAATAATTTAATCCGGTCTTACTTGTGCTTTAAGGTGGACTCGCTTCCTTTATTCTTTTATGAATTTCTCCCTTATTGCATGATGCTGCCATATCGTATTTAACCATAGGGTTGGTATAACCAGGTTATGAGCAGTGCCTGCTGTAATATTTAATCATTCACAAAAACTGCAAAACTGTAACCAGAAGTAGGCGTTTAGTAAACGAAGCTGAGCTCTGCGTGACAAAAAAGCAGTTGTCAATGATTTTAGTGTTTTATTGTTGATAGCAGAGCCAGAGCAGACTTATCAGCAAGCTGATATTATCGTCCAGTATTAGCTATTTGCTGATAGTATCAGCATTTATAGCAGTTGATAAATTTTTTTTTAAGGATAGGACAACCGCCCTTCGACCATGTTATGAGTGGCAGATGCCAGTTGCCAGCTCACTGGTTGAGCAGGTGCCCATATGCCCTCTGGCTGAAATGCAGCGGCCCGGGTTCACATCCAACCTGCAGCCATTTGCTGCCTGACTTCTTCTTCATGTCCCCTCTTCACTGCTAACCGATCACTAAAGAAAAAAGGCCCGCCTAAAAAGCAAAAAAATACATAAAAATAAAAAAATCTGTGCATTGAAGTTATGTAGTTTCTCCACCAGAGGGAGCTCTGCAGCGTCTCTGTTGACAACATGTTTGGAACCCACAAACTCACAATGAGCTGATCCAAGCAGACACATTTAGATAAATAAATGATAAATGTTAGGGAGACTCTGCTAAAAATATTTAGAAAAAAGTATCAGTATTTTTTTTTAATTACCACATATCTGTATTGGTAAGTCTTAAAAATCTGATTAAAAACTTTAATAATGTGAGTGCTCCTCCTTCTGTTTTAGAGCAATGGTGTGCAGCAGACCAACTACCTGGCCCAGCACTACTGCAAAGAAGCAATCAGGCAGATCAGTAGGCTCAGGCCATCCCCAGAGAGAGACGCCCTCATCAGGCTCACAGAGATGGTGCTAACCAGAGACAAATGATCCTCCTCTGCTGGGCTTCTCTTCAGGCAGCTACTCCAGGGGAGAAAAGCAAATTACCTGCCACCCTTAAGTCCTTAAACCAGCAGAGTTGGACAAAAATAGCGAGGGAGGCAACAGGAGTTTGGTTCGGATGGACCTCTGGTGCTGATCCGAGCGCCAACTCTGGCTTAACAGAACAAAACGGCAAGCAGGGGTCTCTGATCTGAGTCGTGGCGCTTTCCTCTTGACTTGAGGTTTGGTATTAAGGATGCACTGATTTATTTTTCTATTTTTTGGGCTCATTCTGATGTTTAAAATTTTAGTTTGACTGAAACCTGATGCCAATGCCAATATTTATTTTGTTGTTAACAAGAATCATCACAAAAAGAAGAATTTTAAAGTTTTTCAGCTCCTCGTCAAACGGTCTTTGAACATTTAACAGGCCAAAGTTGGTGCAACACAAATGTTACCAGATTTGTTGAAAGCCCCAAACCAGGCCGTTAAATTTGTGCATCCTTACGAAGCGCAAGTAAACTTGGTATTTAGGCAAACTGTGATGTTTGAGTTTCTTACAGGAAACGTATGATATGTAAATGAATAATTACAACTGAAAACTGCAGCTGAACCCTTCACTGCTTACAGTACTGTAACTGCAAAAGCCTCCCGTGGCTCAGACTAACAGTTTGTTACACGCTGGTCCTGAGCTGCGACGGAGGCGTTGCAACATCTGTGTAATTCCAAAGGAGAGGGAAGTGCATCGTTGTGTACTCGCTTGGATCCGTCCTCACCTCAAAGGCCAATCAGTCACGTGTCTTTCTTTTCCACTCTGAAGTGTTATATGGTTACTTCTGTGATGCAAAGTGTCCTGTAACGACCACGGCCTTAACATCTGCAATGACTGTGCGCTCAATAAACCAACTGCTTCTTTTTTTTTTTTTTATTTCATTCAAGCCAAAGCTTTGGTTCCTTGTCAAAAGTAATGACACGCGCATGTTGTACATAGATTTGTTTATTATAAAACACTGTACATAAATTTCTCAATCAACATTTTATTATGTACAAATGAAGGAAGAGAGAGATCTATGATGAAACTGAGCTGGAAATAAAAGAAACTGGGTGGAAGGTGACCACAGCAGGTAGCGGTGTAACACTGCATTTGGAGGTCATGTTAGATGACAGAACCAGCATGAAAAAGTACAAGATGATGATTCTTATACCTGAGAGACACCTACGTATGGACTGGCTGATTTATACTGGAGATAATGTATTATATACACCCGTGCAGCCCAGAGGATTACACGTTCCTAGCAGTCAGCGCGGTCTTTGAACCCAGACGGGGCCAGTGGTGCTTTGAGAAGACCGAGGAGGTACTAGTTGCTTAAATGGTCTACGTTATCACATCTGAATTGTCACGTGGCAGTTTTGGGGCAGGACGATTCCACTCTCAGGTGACAAATTCCAGGAAGTGTTTGCCAGGCCAACAGAGAGGTTAAAACAATTTGCGGTTTTCATGATGGTGATGAGATCTGGTGACTCCACAGGGCATAATCACAGTTTTCATACACAAATGATCCAGTGACCCCCTCTGTGCCCGTGACTATTAGTAACCTAGAAAGGATTAGAAATGTTTCAACACTTAGTAAGAAAAAAACACTGTGCTGTGGTTGTCCTCATCTTTACTTTGCTAAAATTGTAGTGCACAGGTTCAGAAGCAGAGCACATAAGACAAGGTTTGAGGACCTAAACAGTCCCTTCACGTTAAGGTCGGGGGTCACGGGTTCATGTTTTTCATTTAATTTGTCACCCATATGCACAGGAATGATATTCCTGCCGGTCACCGAAAGATCTTCCACATTTTCTGCATATAAAATTAAACAGTGAATCCTAAAATGCTCCATAAAAAGCCAAAAATGGATGGAATGTCTTCCTTGCTTTAGATGGACCCAAATTCATGAAAAAACTTCAATTTAAAAGGCGATAAAAGGGACGAGCCTGTCATTTACTTCAGTTTTTTAAAAAAAAAGTGATTTCAACAGTGTAATAAGAAAGCAAAGGTGTATACATTTACAACATAATGGAAGGATAATGGCAATAAACTTAAAATTACATTAGATCTTGAAAAATTTTGCATGCTTCGACGCTGAGACTGATTTTCCCGCAGTAAATTTTCCTTTGAAATACGATTTACAGTATTTATTTGCGAATCACCAACCGTCCATCTGTCATTTACAGAGTTGAGGAGGAGGAGGGCACCACTAATGAAAAGCATCATATGATCGACATTCACTGAATTTACATTACAGAACCCCCCCCCTTCCCTCCCGGAGTGGCTGCAGCTCGGATTATGTACAACCAACAGTACAAACACTTCCACTGAAGGTGCTTACGTTACATTTTTATTTGTTCCATCGAAACCTAAAAACTCTTGTTCACAAAGTTTTTTGTTCAGGCAAGATCTCACCGTACATCCTTCAACTGTGTGAGCATGTGCAGTCCAATTCATTAAAAAAAAGTTTATTTTACATATTCCTTAAATGTTCCCCACCTGTCCATAACACCAAAATTAACTAAATAGATATACCTTTGTCATTTTATTTGCAATCAGTAAGGGAAAAAACATTCCGTCATATCAAAAGAAAAAGGGCGGCGGGGGGGATCACGTGGTTATGCATCTCGGGAGTCAGATTTCTGCCGTCAGTCTCTCAGTGGATTGTGATATGACTGAATAAATATGCTGTACTTTAACTGAAAGGTCCCTTCAGTCGGCGTAGTGCATGATGGACTCCACGTAGTTGCCGGGGAAGAGGCCGGTGGTGCCGTTGCACACGCCTTCGAACCAGCCGTCGTCGTTCTTTTTGATGACGTAAATGATGGCGCCCTCCATGAAAGTCAGCTCGTCGTCCTTGTCCTTGGCGTAGTCGTAGATGGCCACCACTGCGAACAGGAAGGGAAAAGGTTTGCTCTTGGACTCGGTACCCAACGGCAGGACTTTGCCTGCAAATAATTAGAAATGTTAAGCAAACCTTTCTCGATGTAGCTCTTGGGAGCCCACTGGGGGTCTCCGTCGGCGTAGGGGTCGTTGTAGTGCACAACTGCGGCGTCTTCCTCCTCGTAATCCACCGGAGGCGGCGGCGGAGGCGGTGGCGAGTCGTCAAACATGGGCATGTCATCCGGAGGAGGAGGGGGAGGTGGAGTAGGAGTATCTGCAACTATTGAACGGACATCAAAAGTGAGACTCGTTTTGGTTGGAGTCACAAGATGTCCTTGGTGATAGAGGTGGCGGCGGTGGGAGAATCATGCATAAGAAATAAATCAAGGCATGCAAAGTTTGTCTGACAATCAAGCAGGCTGCAAGACTTCTCACAATTGACATGCCGTATGTGTGCGAACCTCTCAAGTGGCTCATGTAGTTTGTGCTCCTGTTGTAGCTTTGAACGTCGCTTCACATGCATATGCAGAAAAAAGGACACCTATATAAATTATTTATGAGCACTTAAATAATGAAAAATACACTCCAAGTCATGCCATTTAGTAAGTTAGAGCTGACGGCATCCACTCCGGGACAAGAAAAGGTATGAAAACGTATACAGACTGCATCTGACACTATAGCAAACTGAAAATATGACGCCGTATTGTCTAGAATATACAGTTAAAGTGTTGGATGCTGACATTAAACACGGCCAACAGGGTCACTGTTTGCTAAATTCTCTGCTTGGTGTCAAAAAGATGGAATTTCCTTACATGGGTATATCAGGCACACCTCATCCATCTGACTGAGGTTTACAGTAGATACAATTTCATTTTTGAAACCAACAGCACCCAAAAGCCAAGGTAGGTGTGTGTGTGTGTGTTACTTCAAATTGAGCTCACTGGCACGTCTGTCTAATATTGGTGAGACCAAATCAGACCAAACGGTTACTACAGTTTCTGTGCAGACGTTTTGCAAATACAACATAGCTACCAGGGTTTGTTTAAGAATCTTGTTAACACTTACAAAATGTTCTTCTGCAGTTGAGAGTAACAGCAGCTTATTTAATGGTGCATAGTGTGTACATTAAGGTCTGAATTTTGCCTTGACAACAAGAAATGGTGCAGAAGGTCGTTTTCTGGTCCCTGGAGGGACCCACAAGTGCCAGGTTCTGTTTGAGGAAGCCAGAAGAGGGGCAGCCAATCAAAGAAATGGCTTTTGAGTTAACTGGGGCAATCGTGGCTAAAGAGTTGGGAGTTTGCCTTGTAATCGGAAGGTTGCCGGTTCGAGCCCCGGCTTGGAAAGTCTCAGTCGTTGTGTCCTTGGGCAAGACACTTCACCCGTTGCCTACTGGTGGTGGTCAGAGGGCCCGGTGGTGCCAGTGTTCGGCAGCCTTGCCTCTGTCAGTGCGCCCCAGGGTGGCTGTGGCTACAGTGTAGCTTGCCATCACCACCGTGTGAATGTGTGTGAATGGGTGGATGACTGGATGTGTAAAGCGCTTTGGGGTCCTTAGGGACTAGTAAAGCGCTATACAAATACAGACCATTTACCATAACTGGCAGCTAAAATTCTTTGCTAACAAAGTGTGAATTAAGGAGTTTCAATACAGGCCACTATAAAATAAATAGTTTGTGGTATCAGCAAACTATCCAGAGCTATTCTAGTGAAGTTTACAATTAATATATTAGTTCCCTTTCAATAAATGAGCATATGGCAGGTTTTGGATCAAAGGGGACAGCAGAGAGTGGTGACCTTTGGCACGTTTTACCCTAAACATTATCAATGACTTTAGCGTAACTCTATAGTGCTACA